ACTGAATGGATTTCTGTTAGGAACTCATCTCAATCGTTGCAGGAGACTTCACCCAATAGTATCTGCTGGTTTACAAATAGTCCATTTTAAAACATTCTTAGACAAGGAAAAAATAATAATTAGTGATTTAATAATGGAACAAATTAATAATCTAACGAATTCCAAATCAACGAATCCACAAATTGAAAGCGAAGAATTATTAGACCTTTTAGAAAGATATGAAATATACAGGAATCAAACTCTGGAGGAAAGACATGGTAAAATTGCTCAATTTTATGCTATATATATATATATATATATAAATTTGGTAAACTATTACCAACTTTTAGAAAGAAGCATACGCGTATGTCTCATTTTGAATTATTGAAATATATTTTGCCCAAACTAACAAGTTTATATTTCACCTTTAATCAGCCAAATTATTCTCGTGCGATGGTACTTTATCATAATAAGCTTATAAATGTCGAAAACATACATCCCGGTCTTACTGCTGAACTCGAAAGTGAATTTATTGGTATAAGACGAACAGACAAACCTTTTTGTCGAATTCCTATAGATTTGACATTAGAACAAACCATAAACGCCGATGCCTTAAGAAATATTTCTAGCATGACCAATTCTATTTCAGCTCGGCAGAGATGGGCTAAAAGTCATGCATTACGAACTGCTGATATTTCACATGTATTAAATGATGTTAAATTAAAGGCGCCAGAGAAAGTTTCTACGGATTTGAAAAAAAGTGTGATGTCTAAAAACAACCAGCAGATTTCTAACTTTTTGACATCTCTAAATAAATACATTAATCCTTTTGATTCTACTTTAGACCATGATAAACTATATAACATCACATCTGGAAAAAATGCTGCACCTGAAATTGAAGAATTTTTGTTGAATGTGGAGAAGATTGGAGATGATGCTCGCAAAACATTTATTACTGAATGCATTGAATATCCAGAAAGATATTCATTACCGATAAAGAGACAGAAAGTACAAACTTTTGTCAACACAGTGAAGAAGAAAAAAGTAGCCGTTTCTGGAAGAGTACAAGAAGTTAGTCTTCAACGTGATTTATTTGGTCGTCTTTTAGCATTATTAATGAATAACAACATTGATATTAGAAAAGTATTATGTTATCGCTTTATTAAAAATTTTAGAAAACTCTACAGAATTTGTACATAGTTGATGGATTACTTTTTATAAACTCGTTAAAAGAAATACCAAGAACTTTTGGGGATTTATCCAAGAAAATATTATCTTCTTTGTGCAAAATTTCAGCTACTGGAATTGATGTTATATTTGATAGACAGTTTATACCATCTATAAATGATACTAATAAATGTATTAGTGGACGTAGTGAACGTGAGTTTAAAATATTAGGATCAAATCAAGTTCGGCCTTCTGACTTCGCAAAAGAAATGAAAAATTCCAAGTTTAAAGAAGCTTTAATCAGTTTTTTCCTCAAACATTGGCAAGAAAGTGATTATAATATTTTAGGTGATAAGATCATTAATATTAATTTCGATGTCTTGCGATGGCCATGAAGAAATAACAACTAAAATAATATATCATGTTGTTGCATTGCTTCTGATCTTAATGTGGTTATACGATTTTGTGACGCTGATGCTCCTGTAATTATGCTAGGAAACATTGAGCATTCAAGAAGCTCTTCAAAAATTTGGCTTGACTTTGGGACAGAGAATTCCCGTCGTTACATTGATATTATGAAAATTCATGAAAATATAGGTACTTTACTTTGAAACTCTTTACCAGCTCTTCACGCGTTAACTGGCTGCAATTATAATCCCGCATTTTTCTCTAAAGGTAAGAAAAAGCCTTTTGAAAAACTGAAAAAGTCCGAAAAATTTCAAAAAACTTTCCAAGAGCTTGATAAACTAGATATAATAGTTTGACTATGCTTCAGCTTTTGAAATAATCGAAGAATATATATGTTGCATTTACAATGTCAAGAAGTCAAATAAAACCAACGATGGAAGATAGGAAATATTTTTAAAAACGTATAAAGTTGATGATGTTTACGATGCGTTTAAATTAAACATATATTAGTTCGATGCTTCAAGTATTTCTCCTTGTACCGCAGAGCTCCAACAACATTTCTTGAGAACGTTATATATTACTAAACTTTGGAAAAATGCTCATTTAAAAGATCCTTTAGAGAATATTGTACCCACTGATTACACTGGTCTGCAAAAAAAAAATTTTCTTTTTTCTCCTTCGTGTTTTTATGCATGAATTCTTTATATTTTGTGCTCTCAACACAGAATCTGACATACAATTAAGTACCACACGTAGATTTCCAATATAATATTTATTTAATTAACAAATAATATTATTAAAACATCAATTATTATAACGTAATTAATAAATATTACAGTCTAAGTTTTACATTAAAAAATCCTAAATTATAGTTACAAAATGAACAAATATCGGTCAGCTATCTCATTATATGGTGAGAAAATTTGTCATTTTGTAGTTTTTTTCCTTTTTATTGTTTCTATTGGAATTTCTCGGCGAATTTACCAACAGAAATCAGCAAGCATTGCTACTGACCATTTCCCACTGTAGCGTTTTTCAATCTGCATTATATCCTGATGAAACCTTTTACCATACTCATCTGATACGGCTCCAAGATTTTCAGGAAAGAAATCTAAATGAGAGTCCAAAAAATGAATCTTAAGTGACATATTGCATCCTAAAGCTTTATAAGCAGAAAGAAGCTCCCGAATGATTTGTCGGTAGTTGTCACTTTATGTATTCCCAAAAAAATTATGACAAACTTCCACAAAAGCCACCCAAGCTCTTTTTTCTGCTTTGCTCAACTTCGAATCAAAAGATTCACCTTTCATTAGCTCACGTATCTGCGGACCTACAAAAATTCCTTCCTTCAATTTTGCGTCACTGATTCGAGGAAATTTTGTTTTTACATATTGAAAACCTGCACCATCTTTATTCATAGCTTTCACAAAGTTTTTCATGAGTCCCAACTTTATGTGAAGTGGTGGCAGAAAAATTTTCTCACTTGGCACTAAAGGTTTCTGAGACACATTTTTAAGCCCAGGAGTTAAACTTTTTCTTAGTGGCCAAGTTTTTATTTTGTAATGATTTTCTCTTGCGCAACTGCCCCACTCACAAAGAAAACAGCAAAACTTTTTGTATCCTCCTTGTAATCCAGTGAGTATAGCGACGACTTTTAAATCAGCACAAATATTCCATAAGTATTGAGAATATTTAATTTTTTTGAGTAATACCTCTAGGTTTGCATAATTTTCCTTCATGTTTGTAGCATGCGCAACGGGCACAGATGGGTATTTATTACCATTATGGAGTAGAACGGCTTTTAAGCTTATTTTTGAAGCATCAATAAAAAGTCTCCATTCACTAGAATCTTCTGGAAAACTCAGTTCTTGAAGAAGCCCTGCAGCATCATTACAATATACCAAATCATCTTCTTTGGAAAAGTAACTCGTAAAATCTTCTTGCCTCGTACAAAAATATAAAACTCTGGTACTTTTATCCAATAGATTCCATTGTTTCAATCTTAATCCAAGTAATTGCGCCTTAGATTTTGGGAGTCCCAAGTCACTAACAAGATCATTTAAGTCACCTTGTTTAAGTAAATGAGGTTCTTTAGATGGACTGGAAGATACGGACAAAGCGTATGAAGATGAAGATGTACCGGCAGAAAGAAAACTCGATTGAGATTAAAGACCAGAAATATTTTTATTTCCCAACTTCTCATTAATTGGTGGAATTGGAGGTAAAGTGCCTTCACCACGAGGAATTGGTCTCTTTGCAGATGGGACGTTCGGGTATACAATCTTATTTTTTTTTTTTGTGACGTCTGCTAAAATCTAAAATTTTTGTTTTTCTTCTAAATATATGTAACTTTTTATTTTTAATACCCTTGAAGTCTGTAGAAGAGTAATCTGGCCTAACTTTCCAAAAATTTCATGACACCCTTTCTAATTTTCGGATTTCTGATTTTTTTGTCAATACCTTTCAATTTTTTAATGACTTTTACCTATTTTTGTATTTATAATACAGTGAAAGTATCATCTCATTTTCTATTTCAAATTGAAGACTCAAGGTAAATTTCGAAACTACTCATGAAAGTACCTTGATTTCCAAGAATTAGAAAACGCGATGACGCACGGACAATTGCCCTTCACTACCTTTCATTTTTTTTGGAATAATTTACCTATGAAGCCCATACAATCACTGATGCTGCTAATCATATAAATACCGCCCGAAAATCATTTTCTGGCAGTTCGATTTCGACCAGGATACCACTGGTTAGCTCCGCGTCGGTCAACTCGGGGCATCAAATTCTTCAGAAGCACAAAGTACTCCGTGATACACGAGACAGTGCCTTGCTCGTGGTTAGGTTACATTCAGTAGCACTAGCACGGTAAATTCATTCGATATTTGCCATAGTTATATTCCGTTTTCTTCTTTTTATTATTTTCCGCCGTTGAGCGTCGATTTTTGTTTATTCCGCTGTTGAGCGTTGATTTTTCCGCGAGAATCGCGAAGTATATTGTTTCCGCCGTTGAGAGTCGATAAGTGTTAAGTTTTGCGCTTAAAGTCGCGAAGATTAATTCATTATTTGTAATTACTTAATTTCTCCATGATACACGAGATCCGGTAATTCGGTTGTGAAAATATCTTAGCTTCGATTGAGTTTTTCTAAGTTTTCGCGTAAAATCGCGAAGATACAAATAATTCATTATTAGTAAATACTTAAATTCTCCGTGACACAGGAGATACGGTATTTCGATAGTGAAAACTACCCATAGAAGGTGAAAGGGCCCATTAAATTTGAGCCTCTCTACAGATTTCCAGGGTAAGCCCAAAACATTATCTACCTTTAAGACATTATTTTTTTTCTAACATTTGTGTTCTTTGATCTCTATCTTTATTAACCGTTTTGTAAACCCAAATTTATAACACTTTTACTTGTTTTTCTCAATAAATTCAAACAAATAAACAAGTTGATTCTCTCATTTTACTTTTAAAATAAAATAAGATATCCTTTACAAAATAAAGTTACAACTAAACAATAGAATAGGTTACTCGAGACCGAAGTCAGCAGGATCCATCATCCTTACTCTCTCTAAGTTAACACTTAGAGATAACGTTCGAGCTTGTGTACCGCTCCACACTCCAACGCAATTTTTAATTTAGCTCCCGAACGGACAAAGTGATAACGTTCGGATATTTGAGATTTCTACTTCATATTCCTTGCGCCCATCACTCACCCCGTTCGTGACACTATTAATAATTTGATGACCATATAGTGCGAAATATTCTTATGAGCGGCTAGTGATAATGCATTTTTAATACTTAATAAAAGTTTTAACAACAGGGTAATGTTTCCCAAGCGTAAGTATGCATTTAAAACACCATAGAGGTGTACAGACATAATATAACTAAGAAAGTACTTACTTATAACATTTAATACAGAATACAAAAGCATGTATAATATATAATGTAAAATGTATAATATATAATATAGTTTATAACAGGTCTTTATTCCTCTTTTCATAGTGGTGGTGAATATGAAGATGGGAATTACGAATTCGCGGAGCTGCGCGACAATTCCTCAAGTACGGGGTAAAGCCCCGGTGGATCTTATGCTTGAGCCTACAAGTAAATCACGCGTAATAACCATTCGAGCTCGTAAGCCTTATATACGATGTCTGCGCGATCGGGTGTCTCTTTTGCTCACGCGTATCGAATAGACTATTAGGTAATATGAATGTGTGTATAAATATACATGTATGCATCCAAGATACAGGTATAGATATAGACAGACGAGTTCCTAAGAGGAAACGAAGCTCTTTCTAAGACACCAGATGCTCCCGACTCTTGTTACTATTTTTTATCTTTTTTCTTACCGAGTTAAACTACCTCGCATTCTATCGTTGAGCAACGACGTAATTTTCCTTCAAGTAACTATTATTAGTCTTACACATTATTCATCCTTCGATTCATTGTAATCTTATGTTATATATTAAATCGGAACGATAAGTTTAAAATAAATCAGTGAAATTTTATTTTTTTTTTCTTGATACTTTAGATTTTTATTGAAAATTTAACACGCAAAGAGGATTTTAGAATTTTTTTAATTTATTTTATAATGAAAAAGTTTTTTCTGGATTTATATATAAAAAATAGTTGAGTAATTTTTTTAACTAATTATAATTTTAGACTTGAAATTTTGACAATTCACCTTTTAAAATTTATATATATAATTAATTGAATTTTTAATTAAATATATATTATTATGTTTCTTGAGTTAAAAAGACGTAAAAAAATTTTTTTTGCTCCGTGAACAATACCCATAGAAGGTGAAAGTCCCATAAAACTTAGGGCCTCTCTCGAAAGAGCAGACTTCTAGGGTAAGCGTACAAAACATTTTACTTTATATTTTTATCTTTTATATCTAACCTTTATGTTCATTTTTTTTTATGACTATTTTTATTTAACATTTATATTGTAACCCAAATTTGTAAACTTATTAACTGGTTTGTTTCAATGAAATTCAAATAACAGAATTATACCTGTTTATTTTCAATCAAAACACACCATTAAAATAAAATAAGATCTCTATTACAAATAAGATTTGAGTTAAACAATAGAATAAGTTACTCGTGACCGAAGTCAGCAGGATCCATCATCCTTACTCTCTCTAAGTTAACACTTAGAGATAACGTTCGAGCTTGTGTACCGCTCCACACTCCAACGCAATTTTTAATTTAGCTCCCGAACGGACAAAGTGATAACGTTCGGATATTTGAGATTTCTATTTCATATTCCTTGCGCCCATCACTCACTCCGTTCGTGACATTTTTGAGAATCCTCGTGTTTATGTCATGGAGAAATAACAATCATTTTTATGATTCTGAGGCTCACTCCAAATCATTGGCATTGTAAACGGCAGGGATTTGTGGCTTCCTTCAAGTCAACCTCTCAATGTTCTTTAGCAGCTATTGCAACATACTTTTGGCAACCAACTCTTATCTCGCTCGTCGATAGAAAATGCAAAATATAGATTATAAGCTGTTTTAACAAGATCTGTCATGACATTTCGCTGGGTTTTAAGTACGAATTCCCCACAAATGTAGCAAAAACAGTCAGTAGAATTTTTACAAGTTCGAGGCAATTTATAACCTAAAATTACATAAAATTTTATTAAAATAATTTTCAAACATATATTTTATATTTATTGCTTCTGCTGATAAAAAAATACATAAACTACACAAAAAATACTCAAAACCAATATAGGGAACATGAACCTTATGCAAAACCTACCAAAATATTAGGGTACAGGCGGGCAAGACGGAGAGGGCGGGTAAAACGAATAATCGTTCCAAAATCGCTGGACGGTCGATAGAAAAATTTCAGACTGCAATAAAAAACGATAGGTCTAGTTACATTATTGATTGATAGATTGCAGTCTAAAATTTTTCTATCGACCGACCAGCGATTTTGGAACGATTATTTGTTTTAGCCACCCTCTCCGTCTTGCCCGCCCGTACCCTAGATACAAAACGTAAACAATTAAGAGACAAGTTTTCACTCAACTGTTGTGAAGTCACAGCGAATACAGCGCATGCGCGTATGTACTACCATAAAAATCACCTTCGGCATTTCCCTTCTTTCTCTTACAACTCACTAAAACTTATTTTGTAGATACACTGTTTGTATATACACTATTTGTAACATTGACGCGCAAAAAAACTAAAAAAAAACCCAAATTTTTGAAATTTGAAAAAAAAATTTATAGAAAAAAACCTAGACGTGATGGAAAAAATCGGCCAACGGGGATAGATTCAGAACATTTGAATCGTCATATTTACGTCAAAACTTTTTAAAAGAGGATTTCATTGCAGACCAGTGTTATGGATGGAATTAAACGGATGACCAATTGGAATTTAAATGGTTTGATGGTGACCAAGTTCCTCAATGTCAGTGACATTATCGGTGACTTATCTGTCGATGAAACCCATGATAAGATATATATAAGAATTTTTTAGTTTTTAATTCTTAAAATTTTTAATTCTATATGTTCAACTCGATATGATTGATTTAATTGATTTGACCAATTAACTATATTAATAAATCAAATAATTTCAGTATACTCTAAATTAACGAATTATATTTGATC